GGATACATAGAAGCCAATTTTTTAGGATCTAAATGCCATCTATAAAACATCTTATAAAAGTTTTCTCTCAAAAAAAGGTGTCAGGTTTTTGAATTCAGCTCAGAATCTGATAATTCCAATAAAACTCTGAACAAAAGGCTACCGATAATCAGTTTTTATTTTCTGCAGAAAGCAAAAAAGACTTGAGGTCATTTTTGTCTCCCCTCTTAATAGAGCAGAGCAGAGAGAAAACAGGTTTCGCGCCTCACTGTCGTGGGAAAAAAATCTTTTTGTAGTCTTACACAGCTTGCATAGATCGTCAGAGTGTTAGAAACATTATTTCACGTTATGCAAACCTCATGAATTTTGGTTGTAGCTCCACCCTGGTGGACTAAATAGGACAATGGTTCTTGAACCCCAAAGGAAAGCCAGGGTCTGGTTTCAACGTGGATGATCATGCAGAAGGCCCACCTTAGTCAATAGTTCTTCAAGTGTGGTTCCTGGGGATAGAGAACAAGCTATCCTCCCACATGTGCCAAGTGCTGAATGATAGCAAGATCCAGAATACGGCACTGCTTCCAAACTCACAATAAAAGAGAATATTTGTTGCTCAGGGTTGGAATGAGCGATCCTTTGATGCTCTCTGAGCTTGCTTATTTTCTTGTAGGCATTTCATCACCCAAACAGTACTGATGATGTTACCTAGTTTGGGTAATGAAACATCTGCAAGAAAACAGCCGAAGATCAGAGACCACCAGGGACCCTCCCCCCCTTCCAAACAGCATCGTGATGGTAGCTGTATCCTCTTGAGAAGATGCTGACGATGCCATGGAAGCTGCCACAATCAAGGGTGCAGGTGATTTTAGGACTTTTTGGCTGTGCAGCCATTCAGTTGGGCTTTTGCACAGATGCAAAATCCACAGGTTTTATGCATTGGTGTTGCCTACTACTGAATTCCTGGGCACGTTCTGGCAAATTTCTTAGCTAGTGTTTTTGGAAGAGGAACGCGGTGGCTCAGGGGCTAGGGCGTTAAGCTTGTTGATCAGAAAGGTCAGCAGTTTGGCGGTTCAAATCCCTAGTGCTGCGTAACGGAGTGAGCTCCTGTTACTTGTCCCAGCTTCTGCCAGTCTAGGAGTTCGAAAGAACGTAAAAAAATGCAAGTAGAAAAATAGGAACCGTCTTTGGTGGGAAGGTAACAGCGTTCCGTGTGTCTTCGGTGTTTAGTCATGCCAGCCACATGACCATGGAGACGTCTTCAGGCAGCGCTGGCTCTTTGGCTTTGAAACGGAGAT